ACACACACACACACACACACACACACACACACACACACACCCCAACTCTGGCCAGGACCCTGTTACTCCCAGACTCCCCATGGGGCCAGCCCTTTTCAATTCGTAGCAATTCATGTTCATCTCCATGAAGCCTTGGCTGGGCCTCACCTTTGCCCCCCTCTCAGAGATGTGGGTGGTCCCTTGAAGGCAGTCCGGCCAAATGAAGGCAGGGCCCTGAGTCTCAGCCGCCCCAACTGGAAAACAGCCACTTCCGGGGACAATGGGCAGACCCAGCATGTCTTGCAAGGACACCAGCTGTGGCTTCAGCCCAGGGGAAGGATGATCTCAAAGGGGACCACGGAAGCAGGCAGGAAGGTGGCAGCAGCAGCAACATCTTTGCTGCTGGGGTAATTCTGAGGAGCTCTCTTGAGCAACCTGGTTCTGCGTCTAGTGACTGCACTGAATGGTTGAACCCAGCCTCCAGGATGGGAAACCAGACAGGGGAGCCCCCACCCCCCAATCAGCTGATGGTTGGAGAAGGATTTTTGCATATCTAGGGCATGTGTAGAACACATCCTGCTGGGGATTCCTGCCTCCTCCTGGGTCCTCAGCATCCTCCTTCCCTTGGGATGAGCATCACTCAACAATGGAGAACGCAGTGGGCTGAGCCCAGAGAGGGGGCCTCAGGGGCCCCTTCTCAGATGGCTCCAGTCCCTGCCCACCCACCGGGCCTCTGAAATATGGAGTCTTCTCTGCAGGCCTCGGAGAGGTGGGAGGCTCCGGCCACTGTCCTGAGAGCGGAGGAGCAGGCTGAGCAGGAGCTGTTGCAGGCAGGGCGGGGAGCTCGGTGCGAGTCCAAGGACTAATGCCTCAGATCGATGTATTTCTCTCCCTGTGGGTGGGGGAGAAGTAAGCAGGCAGCCTCAAGACATGGCCGGAGTGAATTCAAGGTGGGAGCAGAGGAAGGGGCACAAGCTGATGAAGGCTCAGCGGCCCGAGGGAGAAAGCAAGGAGAGGGCAGGGGTGGCAGGAGGGAGAGCCCCACATCCAGCACCCACTCCCACCCCCGGAAAAGGCCAGGGGACGGGCTGCTCAGCTCGGCGAGCCACCCTCTCCGGGAGACCGCAGACACTTGTAGCCCGTCACCCACGAGTAGTGGTAAGGGGAAGGTGGGCCTGCTGTCTATCCCAGTAAAGAGCAGGGGCCCCACTGGGTGCCCCGGGCCCTGCAGAGGTGTCGGGCACAGGCCCAGAGGACTGCCTCCTACCTGGTCTCCGGGAGCCCTCTTGTCACCGTTGCTGCCCTGTAGGAGCCCCATCTCTTCGGGGAGCTTATCTGACTTTACGTCAACTACAATTTCACTCTTACTCGACGGGGGCAGTGTGCTGGGAGGAGGGAGGGAGGGAGGCGAGAGGTTGGCACCTCAAGGGCAGGGGAAGTCCGTGGGGAAGGCAGTTGGACTGGACTGGGGGCTCTGGTGGTCTGGGCACCAGCTCGTGGAAGGGGGGAAGTGGGGCGGTAGAGCAGGCAGCCCCCAGAGTCAGGGCCCCGGACCTTCTCCTACAGGGCCAGTGGGCATGGGAGGAGGTAGCAAGCTGGGCGGTATGAGATGGGGGTGGGGTCGGGGAGGGTGCCAAGAACCCTGCTTACATCTCTTGCTTGCCGGACCGGCCACAAGGCAGCTTGCCCTTCTTGTAGAAGTAATAGAGCGTGGCGCCCAGCACGGCCAGCACCAGGATGCACACAATCACCGCAACGATGACCACGCCCTGGCTCTCGGGCTCGGGCAGCGTCTTCTCTGTCCCACAAAAACCCTGCCAGTCACCTGCTGCCACGGAGGCAGCTGCCTTTCCAGCCCCATACACCCTTCCTGGCCCCGCCCTCCTCTTACCTGTGGAGGTGCTGTTGGCTCTGGCATGGGGGCTGGCAGTGGAGGTGCTGAGGGGGGTGGAGGTGCCGAGCCCAGTGGTGGTGTTGGAGTCGGGTGGGAGGGTGGTTAAGTTGACTGGGAGGCAGAGGAAGGCGGGTTAGGATAAGCACCAGGAGTTAATGCCCGTGCTTGGGCGTGCCCTACCGGACCTGCAGCCCAGAGACCCTTACTCAGCTCCAGGAAGACGCGGGTGCTGTTGCTGCCCAGGCGGTTGGAGGCCACACACTCGGCGCCCTTCTCCAGCAGCTCTGGGGTCACGAGGACACTTAGGGTGCTCAGGACATGCTGTGGGGCTTTGTCTTGTTCATGCACCTACGGGGGCGGGAGGGCACAGCTGGAGGCAGTGGGGCACTCTGGCCTGCCCACCCAGGGCAGGGCGAGCAGGGAGGGCAGCTTGAGCACGTGGGGGTAGGACTCACAGTGCCGTTGACATTCCAGGAGATGGTGGGCCGAGGATGTCCCAGTGCCTCACAGGACAGGCTAGCCACCTCGTTCTCTTTCACCCACACCTTCTTCTCCTTGGAGGGCATCCACGGGGGCCCTGGTGGGGAGGGAGGAGGAGGGAGGCAGCTCAGTCTGCTGGCCTCCTGACTCCCCACAGAGGTTCCCCACAAGGGACAAGCCCTGCCCTCAGGACGGGGACCAGGCTGACCATAGAGAGTGGGGCAACAGGGGACTTGCCTCACCCCGCTCCCAGGAGCCACCTGGTCTCTGCCCAGAGGGCCTCACCATAAATGGCCACGTGGACCAGCCGCGTCCGGTTCAGGCCCGGTACAGCGGGGGCAGACGCCACGCAGAGGTAGCCTCCCCCGGCCTCCCGAGTCAGGTTGTGTAACTGCAGCACAGGCCCCTCGGCCAGCACCTGGCCTGTCTGCGGGAGACACCACCGGTCGGGTCTTGAAGGAAGGTCCCGTCCTGCCCCAGAGCAGCCCAGGCCTGCCTGGTACCTTCTCTCTGAGCCAGTGGAACGCCAGGACCTGGTTACTCTCTGCTTTGCAGGTCAAGGTGAGGTTGCTGCTCTCTCGGCTCTCCGGCCTGGCGGGACTCACCCGGACAGCTGACACATCTGCGGGCACAGCCCATGTTAGCCCGTGTCAGTGCATCCCAGGGCCCCCGTCTTGGCCGCCAGTCTGGTACCCGGCCCCTCCTCACAGTTCACCAGCAGCTCCCGCTGGTCACTCAGCAGCACCATGGTGTCCAGGTCCAGGCCCTGGCACTCGTAGAGCCCACTGTGCTCCTGCTGAGCGGCCTCCAGGACCAGCAGCCCATTGTCTTCCGTGGCCTTCTCTTCCATCTCCATGGTGCTGAGGTTCTGGGGAGGACAACGGGGTGAGCACTGTTCCCCTCCCCATTCCCGCACCCCTCCTCCTGCAGCCCTGAGTGCACCTGGTGTGAGCCCTCCCTCCCGCACCTGCTTGCTGATGATGAAGTGGGGTGGGGGGTTGCCATCAGCCAAACACCGGATCTCCACGCGGTCCCCTTCCTTCAGTGCCCCTGTGGGCACCACTTCCATCCACAGTCTCTCCGCGGGGTCTGTGAGGCACAGAGGAGGCTCTCAGGCCTGTGGGTGGAGTGGGGCGGGGCGGGGCGGGGCCAGGTCCCAGGGAGCGCAGCGCTCACAGAACACGGGCACGGTGATGTCCTGGGATTCCTTCATGTGGTTCCCGCTGGGCAGCCGGTAGCTGAGCTCACAGTAAAACTGGGCATCCTTGTCCTCCTTCGTCAGCTGGGCCTTCAGAACGCTCCGCACAGTGTACAGCCCACTGGACTCGGCCGTCTGGGACGACTGGACGAGTACTCCTGGATGGGGGAGGGCAAGGCTCAGCCACCACCAAGCCTGCCCTGTGGGTCTCCCAGGGGAGCCATAAAGGGACCTGGCCCCTAGGAGGGAACTAGGTGCAAACAAAGGTAGATCCCTCCTCCGTCCAACCGTTCCCACGGCACTTCACACAGTGGCCATGTACAATGGTGAGTGCAACTAATTTGGCGGTGGTTTTTTTAAAAAGGTTGGGAAACACTCTGAGACACAGGCCGTCCTCAAACTACGGTCCGCCGGGTGTTTTTGCCCCGTTTGTTTGTTTACTTCAAAATAAGATATGTGCAGTGTGCATAGGAACTTGTTCATAGTTTTTTGTAAACTATAGTCCGGCCCTCCAACGGTCTGAGGGACAGTGAACTGGCCCCCTGTTTGAAAAGCTTGAGGACCCCTGGTTGAGAATGATGAGGGCCACAAATGTACAAATGTGCTTGACATACAATGGATGTATGCATGCATTGTGAGAAAATGATTAAAAATATAGAGATGCAGACATGGGCTTGAGAGACATAACACCCTAACTGAGAGCAGAGATTTCTTTTGGAAAGGAGTTTTTCAGTCTAGGCGCACGTGTGTGTGTGTGTGTGTGTGTGTGTGTGTGTTAGGGACAGTAAGTTCTTAGGAAAATACTTTCAAGCATCAGATGCTGGAGTAGAAGGCAAGGCGATCCCTATGAGGGTCCCACAGACACGCTTTCAGGGGTAAGTGGGGTGGAACTCACGGCTCTTCTCCTCCTTCAGGGGCAGCCGGTTCTTGTACCAAGTGACCTGGGGAACTGGGTACCCGTTCCGCCCCACACAGGTAGCAACCTGAGGAAGGGTAGGCTGTCAGTCTCCCTGCCTCGGAGACCCTCCATGCCCCACCCGCTCCCCTGCTAGCTGTCCTGGCACCGCTCACCTCCTCGGGCTCCTCACTGCTCACAGAGATGCCTACGGTGTTGGCATGGATGCTCGGCTCCTCCGGCGCTTCTAGGTGGGTGAGAAAGGATAAGGGCATGACCACCCCTCCCCAGGAGCCACACTGCGGAGGGCAGGAGCAGGGCAGGGGCACTCACTGTAGACTCGGAGCTGGAGGCGGTGCTCCGGGGACCGGGGGTGCTTGCCCTGACACAGGAAGATGCGCTCGTCGTCCTGGGGGCTGGCATGCGCCAAGGCCAGGGTGCCTCCCCTGCCCTGGAGGCTGAGCCGGTGCTTGTACTCGCCCGCTTCACTGTGGCCCTGGCCCTGGCGCACCCTGTAGATGGGCAATCGCTTCTCCTTGTGGACCTAAGGGGAGGTGCCCAGTGGAGGTGAGGGTCGTGGGGGTCTTGGGGGGCGGGTGGGTGGAGGAAAGGTAAACCGTCCCACCCCCTGCTGCCCTCTGGGCCTGGCACTCACAACAAACCAGTCGAGGCTGAGGTTGCCCTGGGACTGGGGAAGGCCACATTTCAGGAGGACGGTGCTGCCCAATTCCACCTCGAGCACCTCAGATGCAGGCTGCTCTGCCTCTCCGGGCACACCTGGGGGGCAAGGGGGCATGCCCTCAGCAGTGTGTCTGCTCCAGCTGCCCTCCATCCCTCCCCACACAAAGGCTCCCTGCAGCTGTGCTTCCTGCCACTGTGAGAAACTGAAGAGAGCCCAGCCCTCCCCAAACTAAGTCACTCCCTGCACCTGGCCCCAACGGAGGCCCACCCTCTCCCAGCTCAGGGGCACAGGGCCCGGCATCTCTGGCCCTTGGAGCAGAGACCTTGCGCGCCAGGCCCCTCCGCAGTGAGGCTGGCAGAGGGGCGGCCCTGGCTCGGAGCCAAGAGGAAGGCCCCTTTCCATCCAGGCCCGCTCCTCTCCAATGAGCTCAGCGAGTGGGAATGCCAGGCATGTGCCAGGCTGGGGCATACAAGGCCCTTTGTGTGCCCTCCCCTAGGAGCAGACGTCACTATTCCGCCCTCTGCCCCCAAGAATCCCCTCTCAGACCCCCTCGCAGTCCCAGGGGGCTCCCCCACAATGCCTTCTTCAGTACCCCCACAGGGCTCAGTCGTTCTATCCTGAGAGTGTTGGGAGAGCTGAGGGGCCTGCCTCCCTGAGGGGTCAAGGCAAGGTCCACGCAGTGGGCAGGAGTGACATCAGCGGTGCCAGCGCGCTGCCAGCCCTGTGCGGTGGCGGTGACGTCACTGGGTACCATCTGGGCGGACTGGGGTGCCTGGGGTAGTTGCCCTGAGTAGGCTCCCAGACAAGGAGGGCAGAGAAGATGGTCTTCGACTCCCTGCCTCAGTTTCCCCTAAGCTAGAACGCTGCTAACGAAGGCCGCTGCGGACTTAGCCCTTTCCCCAGAAATAAAGACATCCTGAGAGGTGGCAGGCGGCCAGCCCTGGGGACGCGTCTCCCAGGCGCGCGGCCAGCGGGCTGGGCATTGACCCGCCCCCTCCCCCCGCCCAAGCAGGAGCCCGCCTGGGACCTGGGAGAGAGAGCCAAGAGGAGCACGCGACATTGCTGCCGGCCTTACAAGGGCAGCCCGGGCCCGGGGAGCGCACGTCTCCTACGCGGCTCCGGGAAAATCCCGTAGGTGCTGGGGCGCTCTTTCCCACGAGGACGGACAAGTTCTCCAGCCCGTCCGGGAGCTCGAACAAGATAAGTGCGGGAAAGGACCATTCCCCGTCTCTGCTACCTACCACCCCATCAGCCAGGCACGGGTGAGGTGAACCACCCCGCCAGCACCCTGCCGGAGCCAG